CTAAATACTTATAGATTATCTAGGTGCAGCCTATATACTAGATTTTAGAGAAAATCTATTAAGTAGTTCTCTAGATCTAGATCCCTGTCAATCGCGATTTTTGGTGAGATTTTGACTGGCCCACATACTGGGGTGGCCCGCTTACTGGTGAAACACGTTAGTCTATTAAATAGATTAGTATTATTAAAACCTTTAGTTATATCTATAACTCTTTTCTATTAAGAATCGCTAGGCAACTCTTACGGCGCTAATCCTAATCCTACTCGCCCTAACCCGGATCGAGCCAGAGAAGTATTAGCACTCCAGACCCCGTGTAACACTTTCCAGCTTACTGATCCCGCACGTTAGTTCTTATTTCCGAAAGCTACGCAAGTTTGCAAAAGTATACTATGCAACCAGGGAACATCGGTTAGACTAGAAGTCGAACTTGCATTGCAGTATTTCCTCAGAGAAGACTTATTATTGCTCCTTAATCATCTCATCCGCAATCTTCTCAGCAAGGGCGTAGATTAATGCCTGAGGATGACCTGGGGGCAGTAGCGCCAGGGAACTAGCATCTACAACCCGCAGGCCCTGAACTCCGATTACTCTCGCCAGATTATCCGTCACAGCGGTTGGATCATCAATGCGTCCCATCCGCGCAGTACATGAGGCGTGCATAACTGCCATCACGCTCGTCCGAATATTGCCCAAAATCTGTTCGTCTGTCTTCACGTCATCGCCAGGCCAGTATTCGGCATCACTCGCGCGGATGCTTCGAACCACGTCCGTGTTGAAGATCTTGCGTATACGCTTGTACATTGCGATTGCGACCTCGACATCGCCTGGGTGGGTAAGCCAATTCGGGTTGACTAACGGACTTCGCGCGGGAGAAGCACTGGCAAGTGAAATATTACCACGAGATAGTGGGGCGGCTAACGCGGCGATAATAGAGGCATACATTTTCCCGTCTTTTGGCTGATCGAGCCATGGGATGTTGAATTCACCAATATGGGCTGCTGCTGGGAAATACTCAATATGAGGCCAATCTTCTGGGAAACTAAGCAGCTTGTCCCATGTTGACTGGCTCAGATTGGCGCTACTGGGCATCCGCTCCCATGCTAGGAACTCAGCCACGTTTGTCGTCAACGGCCCGGTTTGCGTCAGTGCATATTCAGCCACAGCCTCTGCAAGTGCGACAGGGTCCCCGAGTACCCTGTTAAGGGTATCGAATGTCATTTCGTACGTGGGTCCAAAAAGAGCATGATCAGTCATGTTTTGCCCTACACCAGGACGGTCGGCCAGTACGGTGATCCCATGTTCGGCAAGATGTTTCGCAGGGCCGATGCCAGATAGCATAAGTAGTTGCGGCGTGTGTATAGCACCGGCTGAAAGTATAACTTCCTTGTTGGCAGAAATAGTGTATTTCAGCAATCCTAGTCCGGCGACTTCAACGCCAGTAGCCTTTTTGTTATCATCGAAAAGTACCTTCTCGACTCGCGACCCTAGAAATACAGCGAGCTTTTTGCCTACGTCCGTGTCTTTTGCCGCGTATACGAAATCAGCCGAGCTGGACCGGATCTGAGCACGTGGATGAATCGTCGTTTGCGCGTAATGATACCCGTTGAGGATGCCTTGGTTAAACTTATCCGTCAATTTCATGCCGAGGGCCTCCAGTCCTTTGGCTGCCCATGTCGACCATACGGGTGTCCAGTTGGGATATGTCACCTGAATTGGTGAACTTGATGATGGCTCGAAGTCTGCCTCCACATAGGCCGTCGTTGCATTGGCCAGACGTGTCTTTTGATTCGGTGGGGTGAAGGTGAAACTCTTTTTGAAGTATGGGAGAAATCGGTCGAATGAGTAGCTCTCATCCCCGACAGCCTCTGCCCACGCATCCAGAGCCCCTCGGTTTGGGCGGTGATGGATCATGAAGTTCAGGCCTGAAGAGCCGCCAAGACACTTGCCCTGGGCGTAATGCATTCTACGGCCTCCTGCGCCAGCTTGTGGGACCGTCACCAAGCCATAGTCCACAGTTGGGATGCTGTCAGCTGGGTTCGAGCCTACACCGATGACATCGCCGAGGGGTGCGGGTCCAACAACAGGCTTGCCAAATTCGTACAATCCTCCAGCCTCAACGATTGCGACAGTGAAACCAGCTTGAGCTAGACGATACGCAATTGTGTTGCCCCCTGTTCCGCCGCCAACTACGACATAATCATAAGACTTCTTAGCACCGAGCGTGCCTGCGAGGCTCCCTAGAAGTGTCTTCGTGATACCCTCTGGCGCGGTCCAGATGCTGTCAACAATTGGGTCTACTATCGAATCCAGTAGTGGAAGTGCGAGGACTGAGGGAAGTAGGACCAACTTGGGAAGAAGCATCTTTCACAACAAAATTAGATAAAGCCCCCTGCGCTAGATGGTTTTAAGCAGTGGTATGGGGGGAAAAGAGGAAGAATTCTTTCGGACTGGAGGAGGCAGATCTTAGCTGGACAAAGGCCAGACTCAGCCTTTTATTTCTTGCAACTCCACTCGCACGTACAATCCTTACTGAGTGAGATTCTATAGCTTGAATCAAGTGACCCATGAATTTTCAAAGGCCTTTTGATCAAATTTTCCCTAATTCTGCCTAGGTAAAACGCCTACCAAGTTTTTTAGTTTTTGCATAGTACATACACGAATGTGAGTGGGTCTCGTACAAGAATTGTGATGATTCGTGGCCTTCCCAGGGCCTGTTGTGTTCGAATCGTGACTCAGTCCGTGATCGCAAATCGATCCGAACGCTACACCTATTGCAGTAGCTCTAGAGTAAATCGCAATCAAAGAATAAAAGGGGGAAGTGGGGAATGCAGATTTACATAGTTTTGGATGTGACTAGATAGTTATAGTTCGACGCCATTTTAGCTCCAACACAACTGACTGATTATAAGCTGTAAGTTACTCTACCACCGACTCAAAGCAGTTATTACAACTAATCGTGAAACGCTCACCATAAGCCTACTATCGTCTCGCTCAAAGTCACTAATTTATATTGTCGTAGTAGTGTACGATCATTCTAAATTGGGATGAATAGGATTCTGCCAGCAAAATAGCTAGGCGACATTGCGATCTAAATCGCGAAACGAGACCAATCCCCAGAGAAATGTTAGTCATGTACTTGCAAATCAGGGCTATTCTAATAATGATAAAACATTAGTATGGAGCTCTAATGTGCCGAATAGATCTAGAAAATCGAGATTAGAAGCTGTTACCTACTAACTCTAGCTATTTATACTATTATACTAATTCACTAAATCATACTCATTCTTAAGTATTTATACACCAACGCTGTAATAGGCTACGCCCTTAAGAGCGGCGCTGCGATATTGTCTTGTGCATACCTTTTGGTACACCGGACGGCGCGAGTAGCTGCGCGCGAGGTTACTCTAAACCGCCCGTCACAAACACAACTCTTTTGTTTTATTAAAGCATCTGATTTTACTTACAATCAAATATTCACATATCAATCCACGCGTAAGTACTAGAGCCATAGCTACTAAACAGGCAAATAGTTAGTAATTTAGCTGTGTTTTCAAATAATTTGCAGGACTAGGAAAAGCTGTTCTTGTTCAGTTTTCATCGGTTAGATGGGGGCCGAGGTATCACAAGAAAGAAAAAAGATACGTACGTAAATACGTGTAGCTTCGATCCTCGGTCGAAAGGCGTCCAATAGGACTCCAGTTGATTCAAGTACCCCGCATTTTGAAATAGCGATCGTCAGAGGCATATCGCTTTTAAGAAACGAATCAGATCTAGGATAACTACACAGCTTTTAGCTGGAATGACTTCGGTTCAACCAAAACCTCCGTATTGCCCCTGGCCTAAATCTTCATTAGTGTTCAGGGTAAGTGCGGTAAGTATTAAAACGCTTTTGCTTACCGAATGGAGTCTGGCTCCACTAGGCACCGTCTTAACGTATGGGATACATTCGTCAAAACCACTTGTTAGTTTACCTAACGTAAGCTTGAAATATAGCGAGGCTACAGGGAATGAATCATGCGTTCTGTCATGGTGGGTACTTTGAGGGCAGATATCAATAGCGCTTAATACCCTGGGCACTACCAGAGAATTATATGTAAATGCCTCGAGAAGTTTCACCAAATTCATGATTCAACATTATACTGCCCCATAGCTAGGTCTACTGTCCGGTTGTTGGCGATTCTTTTGCGCTTCCCATACCAGTCACGAAAATGAGGTTCGGCATCGCATATCTGCTCTTGAAACTCGCTGTGCTGTCCACAGCCCAGTGGGATAACAATTCAACAGCCCCAATCGAGCTTGCGCCTGCACCCTGGACTTTGAAGGGTACCGTATATTCTATCACCTATGTTCCCCTTTCAACCAAGCTACCTACAAAGGCGTTTGCACCGCTCGAACGGCAGTACGCGTCAGCCGTAGAGGGTGAGTACATTGGCATACTTGGCCAGATACAGATTATCCGATACACAGATAGTCCTGTTGGTCCGTATGACGAACTTCTAATCGTTCCGGGTTTCTTCAAATACAATCATACAACCCCTAGCGGGAAAGTAGAGGAAAGGAAGAACGTCAGAGTTAGTAGGATTTACGTTAGCCAAAAGTATACATGTTGGAACGGGAGAACGAGTACGTTTATTCCATGTCCTAGCTACTTAACTGTGGACACACATCCAAGTCAACAGCATTTTCCACTAACATACTAAAAGATTGGAACATTCCCAAGCATCTAGCTAGATTTGACTGGGCCGAAGGAACTGATGGCAAAACATCGGTCAAAATTTATCCACACGATACCACCGGTGACCCTTCCGAATCCAAACCAGCAGAAAAGCCATGGTTTCAAGCCACATTCAAGCCAAGCCTGTTACCTGGCATACCCTTTAGCACGGATCTATACAACCTTGTGGGTGTTGATACATTACTAGCCCAGCCGCCCTTGCCCCCTGGCAACGGTACTTACGACGAGCTTCCGGGGACAAACCAATGGGCAGCCACAATGCCAAATCAAGTGACTAAAAGCGCTACATTGGGAATCATGGACTTGGATCAGGGGGAAGGTGATGTGGAGAAGGGCCAGGACACAAATGCGGTGGGCGATGAGTACTTTCCGAATTTCTGGCCAGGTATTCCACGTCTGAACATCGCCACCAAGTTAGCAAACGCTACTATCACCTTTAGTGCGCCTGAGGTTTGGACCAACTAAGTACAAAGGTTGAGAACTATTCTCTCCTTCCATTGTTGATAGCTCAATGATAGTGATAATGTATCTCATTGCATGACACTGCCATAAGGGCTTCGGCAAGAGCTTACGCGTAACCTAATAAACTATGGCTTTGCCGAGAAGAAACATGAATCAAAGGAACAATTTTTGGTTCTAAATAAAAGATAGGAACTTGCACAAGAAATTAGAACGTACTAGCAATAGAGTTATAATGCGCGAAGTTGACTGGTAGTTTTCCAGTGTCGGGAGAAATGAAACGATGTTATTTGCGTACCATCAGTCCTAAAATACGATGGAGAACGAAGGCAACATACTATTCTTGAACATTTCTTTGTGTATACTCATCCGAATCACATGCTGTGTTTCCATAGCATGCAGAATGAACTAAGCTGAGAGCAAAGAAATGTCACTTCGTTCATGGTTCAAAGCATTTTAGCTGAAGAATAGCCCCTCATAGACGATGTTGACATATTTTGGTATGGAATATTTGAACTGCCTACTATGCATACATGAAAATAAACACATAGGCTACATTACTTGCAAATCTATATGCTGAGACACATAATTGCATTCGGCAGTAGTCCGACAAAAAGATTATAGTGCAGCTTTAGGTTTCCACCGAATGTAAGGATGTTGATCTAACTGTGATGCAACCAAGTGATCGATATCCCGCGTATTTAGTAGGCCAGGATGCGCTTGATTGATATCCGTAAGACCACATAAGCGCATGGACGTTTCGAGCTCATCTTTGAGAACTGTATCATTTTTTGAGAATATGTTTTTGAGAAACGACAGGGTACATAAACTTACTTTGTGTAAGATGTTCAACACCTTTTGTACCATACGTCAATGAATACAGATACGGGCGACCCACCCCAACAGCGGTTACACCTAGAGCAATTGCCTTGAGGATATCTGAGCCGCGTTCAAATCCGCCATCGATATAAACATGGAGTTTATCAAACACATCTGGACAGATGCGATGAAGTTCCAGTAATATTAGAATACTTGGTTGAGCTCTAACAATGTTTTAGTTTGAAGTTAGAAGATTTGGCAGACCGGCGACTTACCCGTCCAGCGATCGACCGCCATGATTGCTAAGGAAGACACCCTCCACTCCAAATTGCACGGCCATGATCGTATCTGCAGCGCTCTGCACACCCTTAAGGACTACAGGCAAGCCGGAGACTTGCTTAATCCACGCAATATCTTCCCAAACTAGACTCTTCTCCACATAGGCCGCCATCAACCGGCCCATACCACCACCCTTTTTGTCATTAGTTGCAACCGCGCCGGAAATAGCGCTTACGACACTTTCGGCAGCGATGCGCTCATCTGCTTCGCGCTTACCCGGGACTGGAGCATCAACGGTAACGAATATACCCTTAATACCAAGAGAAGCCGCCTTACGCAGCAACTCCTCAGTTTTCACTCGCTCGGAGTTGACGTATAGCTGTAACCAGAATGTTTGCCCTTCTTTGCCTGCCTTGACAATGGAAACAAGAGGATAACTTGCGTTGCTACTTATGCATTGCACGACATCCTCACTTGCGGCACCTTTGGCCAAAGCAAGCTCGCCGTCCGGATGTGCCAGTCTCGCCATAGCTGCAGGGGATATGAAAAATGGTGCTGACGACTCGCACCCCAAGACGTTGCGCTTGATGGAAACGGCCTTGACGTCGCGGAGGATGCGTGGTCGGAACATGATCCGTCTTATCACCGCTTTGTTCATCTTATGTGTGACAAGATCGGTTGCAGCGCTAGAGTAAAATGCCCACGCTTTGGGCGTCAATGTATGGCGGGCGACTTCTTGGAAATCGGCAGCAGAAATGACTGAGTGGAGATGCGGTTTCTCGTAAACGAATGGTATCTGCGTAGGTGCATCGATAGATTCAGGGCGAGTAGGCATTGCAGGCTTAAGCTTGGGTTTGGTCCCTGCCGTTCCTTCTACTGTACCTTCACGCAGAATTTCGTTTGATGGAAGGATATCGCCGATGAATTTCTCTTGCGCTAGTGTTTCCTCGAGCATCCCCGGCGCATGGATTTCATTGTAGATTTCAGTCGCATCTTGGCCTGCATACCTGAGAATAGCTACAAATCGTTAACGAAATATTACACAATATATACGGACATTAAAATCAACCGCTTACTATCTGCTCCTCCAGGATGCAAAGTGAGGAAATCAGTCACATTCCAGACTTGATTCTGAATGACAACCCAACAGCTTTCGCGGCTATTATGCGCCCTCACGTCCTCAAATGACAGACAGGGATTCCTCATTCTCTTTTTGAGTCTTCACTGATAAAAAGCAATATAAAAATGATTTAGGGCAGAAACGTCAAGGACGAAGTGATTCTGGTAGTTGGAACTTTGCTCAGTGTGTCCCTACTGAAAACGAGACCCTCGCTCTTTCAGCTCATCTGCGCCAATTTGTCACTCATACTGCACGGTTTTTTAATCAATCCCACATGCAGGGAGAAGATGGATTCTCCATGCTGGTCCGAAGGGTGCGTTTTGCGGTGTTCTCAACGTCGGGCAACCTCCCCGTGGTGTAACTACTAGCTCCACAACGGACTTCTCACCGAATGACGACCTAAGCGCGTAGAAACGGGGACACTTTTGGATGTCAGCTGCAGATTCTGCACACGATACATTACATTCCTCTCGGTGCAGCTAAATAGTCGGATACTGCTGCCCCACCAATTAAGAGCACCCAGGCAAAGTACAATCGTAGCTCCTAGTAAGTGAAGCGAATGGATAATAATGACCATGCTTATACACATGCCTCCATTAGAACTACTAAAGCATCTATGCTATCTCAAAGTTGGACCAAAAAATACTTACAAGGGGACGTAGACCATTTACATTACTGCGATGTCGCTTGACTAGACTTCTATCTCTATCATGCAGTTTATCAAGCAATTACGATATAGACTAATTGAGTATTTATGCATCTGTTAATGAATGATTCGAGTTTTGACTACCAATTTCGACATTGTATCTATGTACTGAAATATAGCGTTCTAGCCGTCTACCCAGTCAACATCGAAGCGAATGAACTTGATCCGCTGCCTCCAGAAAGTAAATGCAACGTTCGCGACATCTTTATCATCCCTCTCAACCCAGATGCTGGGATAACTGAGTTCTCTGTTCTCCTTTGTTCGCGAGTTGTTCGTCATGCAATATCCATCGCCTTCTTGCAGGGTCTTACTCTTCCACGTCCTACCTCCATCACTGCTCACACCCACAGTCATCATCTTGCGAGGTACTCCCCATACAGCATCCTTGATCGAACCGCGCTGGTTAATGCGTTTATCATCTTCGGGAGTGATATCGTCATAAAGGCCCTCGCGCTTCGCTTGGCCTTTCTCGAATTGAGAGTCGTTGTAAATCATGATGAGACGACCATCGGATAGAACCTCGGAACAGATACCAGAGTTTGGATTTGGAAGGGATGTGGGCTCAGGTTCCGTCCAATCGATGCAGTTGGTAGATGTCGACATGTAGATGTTGTCTGCCCACCGCGAGCGATAAAAAGCAATGTACGAGCCATCAAGAAGCACTCTGATGTTCATATGTACAGCCCCTATAGAGTTAGGAACTTCTTTCTCTTGCCATGTTTTCCCGCCATCTCTCGTGTATTTGACAACGGAGATGTCGTCTGAGCCTACCCAACGAAAGCCAGGAGGATTGCGACAGTACCACGCTGGGAGCACCCATGTGCCATCTTCCAGAATAGTGATTGGCTGTCTGATGAAGAGCCCTTGATCATCAAAAAGATTTTGCGCCAGACTCCATGTTTGGCCCTCATCCGATGACGCACGGTATCGCACAACGGCTTTATCTTGGTTGCCAGCTGGCTGCGCCGTATAAATTATCCACAGAGTTGTTGTTCCAGGAACAAGAAATAACACTGGATTTTGTTCACTACGCTCTGAGTCGTCCGAGATCTTTTGCGGCATCGACCATACCCGCGAGCCCTTTGTCAGTCGCGAAAGATGGATACAAATGTCGGAGAGTCCTTCCTGAGAGCCTCCGAACCACGCGCATAGCAGATCACCATTTGGTAGCTGCAATAAATTGGAAGCGTGAACCTGTACTGTGGATGCCGGAATGTAGTTTGAAGCGAAGAAGGGCCTGTCCGATTGAATGTCCAGCTCCGCGTTGAAGTCTGGCATTTTTGGGATATTGTAGAAAAATCTGTTACTACTTGGAATTATGATCTGTTGAAAGTAGACCGGGTATCCTATAGCTACTAAAAGAAAAGCGAACTTGATGTAAGCTTGCCAAGTAAACTTCTTCACTCTAAGAGCCAGTGAGCGTGCGCTACCACAGGCTTCTTAAGATCACGTCGGTGTTACTCTTGTGGGTTAAGCTGATCCGGAAACAGTTCCGAAAATTCCTTCCTAATCTTTCTAGTACCAAGATCGTCCCCGGATTTCTCACCGAGAGATTCAGAGAAGGCCACACGAAGGATTGCGGGGAAATGCGAATGCGGGGAGAACCCGATCAGCATACTACCCTGACTAGCTAAATATAGTCGTGTTTTCATGCCAAATTGGTGTTTTATAAGAGCCAGCTCGTGGGAGATGGAATTCTGCTCCTCACAGCTGTTCATCAATCAAAATTTCAAACACATATCCTTATTTCCAAGTTCTTGATTCGATTCTGCATGCACCATGGGTGGGGGTACAAGCATTTGGGTCTCGCCTCAGGCTCGGAGTGACCCACGAGAAATTTACAATGGCCGTTTGGCGTTTCTTGCAACTACTATCGCCATGGCTGGTTGTGCCTATGGTTTTGATCAAGGAAACATTGGAGGAGTTCTGACTTTACCAACATTCAAGCATGCCTTTGGACTGGACAGACTAAGCGAAGATGCGGCGGATGCGCGCAAAGGCAATATTGCGTCTTTGAGTAAGTGCCCCTTCGTTCAATACCCCGTGAATTCCGATACTGACTGTTCACAGTGGCTGCTGGTGGCGCTGCAGGTGCTTTGCTATCTGCTCCATGTGCCGACTTCTTAGGTCGCAAGTGGTCTATGATGCTATATGGCTTTTTGTATCTGCTAGGCTGCGCCTTTCAAGAGGTTCCCCATCTCGGTCTTTTCTACGCAGGCAGATTTCTTGCAGGTGTGGCAATTGGGTGCATGTCCGCCGGCGCACCCCAATTTTTGGCGGAAAACTCGCCCAAAGCGATTCGTGGGTCAATGACTTGTCTTTACAATCTAATGATCACCACTGCTCTTTCACTGGCATTCTGGACAAATTTTGGAGTCAGCAAATGGGAAAATGTCAACATCACAAACAACACACAGTGGATGTTAGCATTGGGCATTCAACTTATCCCAGGAGGATTCGTATGTATCTCCCTAATCTTGAATGGTGGTATCATTACTAACTTAAAGAAGATGGTTGCAATGCTTCCATTTGTAGAAGAGACGCCTCGTGCCTTAATTGCGCGTGGAAAGCGTGAGCAAGGTCTTATCAATCTCGTCAAGCTTCGGAAGCTCCCGGAATCCCACCCTTATGTTCAGCAAGAATACTTGGAAACATGCGCACAAGTGGATCTGGAGCAAGAGATCGCGGCTGGGCGTAACTATTGGCTAGTGATCAAGGATGTTGCGCTTGTACCATCCAATAGGAGACGCTTCTTCCTCGCCATCATGCTGTTCCTCTTCCACAAACTTACGGGAACCGACTCACTCAACTATTTTGCCCCGGAAATCTTCACTATGATTGGCGTAAAGGGGGGATCTCAAGCCCTGTTCACCACTGGCATCTATGGTGTTGTCAAACTTGTCACTGTGCTCATTTACGTCGTCTTCATTGTTGACCGCGTCGGGCGAAGATTACCTCTTATCATCGGTGCATGCCTCCAGGCTACTGCCATGTTGTACATTGCACTCTATGTCCGATTTGCAAAACCACAGGTGGGCGGTGGCACCGAAGTTGGCGGTGTTTTTGGCATCGTCTGGATTTACATCTACGCTTTCGGGTGGTCATTCGGTCATAGTGTGGCTTGTTATGTGGTGGCTGCAGAGATCTTCCCTTCTCGCATTCGCTCTTTCTGCATGAGCTGGTGCTTCTTCACAAACTGGATTGTTGATTTTGGTATTACCAAAGCCACCCCGTCGATGATGACGCATTTGGGATGGGGAACGTTTCTTTTATACGCAGTACTAACCTACATCGGCGCTATCTTCGTCTACTTCTGTATGCCGGAGATGAAGGGTCGATCTATCGAGTCTATGGACGACTTGTTCCAATATTCGATCTGGTCTATGTGGAAGAGGGCATATCCAAAGGAAGACAACATGGTTCATCAGGACGTTGGCGATATTGCTCACGACGAGAAAGATGAACAATCCTTACGCATTGAGAAGGTTTAGATTTATAGCAAACATGAAATTTATGGACAGGGTAATCCTGATATATCAGTGAAATCCTCAATACAGTGTAAAGACATAGATGCCTTCCAATGCTGTGCTCCAGACCCACTTTCGATCTACCAAAATATCGCGCCGTGGAATTTACAGGGTGGTGTCATGCGACAAAGCGCATACAAGTCCGATGAAACGATGCTAAGCGAATGATTCAAAGATTAGGTACTTGGGAGCCGGCATTCTCGCCGTAGCGTGACCCTTCGGAACTTGTAAACGACACATCATGTTGAACATAGAAAAGAGGCTTTTGGAACTTTAGTCAAAGGAAAATAAGGATCTTCGAACCTTCCAAATCATATCCAACACGATGAATAACTACACCAAGACTTTCAGACTGAACACAGGCTCTGATATCCCTGGCGTAGTACGATATTGTACACCAACTCCCTCTTGTAGTATGTATTAACTGATATAGGGATTTGGGACATGGCAGGCAGCCCCAGGTGAGGCCGGTAGTGCCGTTAAGATTGCTATAAAGTCGGGATATAGACACTTGGACTGTGCTCCTCTATGTAAGCATACAAGTTACTTGACATCGCGGTATTTTCTAACCGTGTATAGATTGGAATGAAGCAGAGATTGGGCAAGCGCTCTCCGAAGTGCTCAAGGAAACCTCAATATCTCGATCCGAAATATTCATAACTACAAAATTATGGTCCTCACAACATTCAAATGTCGAATCTGCTCTTCTTCAGTCTTTGAAAGACCTCCAACTCGATTATGTTGACCTATACCTTATGCACTGGCCAGTTTCTCTTCCGCCAAACGATCCTTCAAAACCTAATTTCGGCAAAGAAGACCGTACGTTACACGCCTCAGACTGGGACTTTTCGAAAACTTGGGCTGCGATGGAGGTTCTATTATCCACTGGCCTTGTCAAAGCCATCGGTGTGGCAAACTTTTCCACGGTCAACCTCGAGAAACTACTCAGAACAGCAAAGGTGATTCCTGCAGTTAACCAAACAGAGCTGCACCCTCTACTACCTCAAAACAAGCTTCACGAATTTTGCACGAAGCACGGCATACACCAAACCGCGTTCGGGCCGCTTGGCGGTAAAGGTTCAACGCTACATACGCACAAAGACGTGATAGAGGTTGCAGAGCAACGGAAGGCAACCCCTGCACAAGTGCTTCTCTCTTGGGGTTTGAGCCACGGGTGGAGTGTCATCCCCAAAAGCGTGAATGCCGAAAGGATACAGGGGAATTTGAGGGTTTTCGAGCTAGGTGTGGATGAACTCGGTAGGTTAGACAACCTGGCGAAGATTGAAGGGAGAAGATTTAATAGGCCAAATTGGGGTACTGTGGTTTTTCACGATGACGATCACAGCGTTGCATAGGCGGTTGGCTGGTTGTTTGGGCAAATCATGTCAATTGATCTGCGTACACAAGAAGGTGTGATAGTACTTAGTAGATGTGCGACGGCATTATATGGGTTGCTATATACAACCCTGGTTCAATGTTCACTACACGGTAATCAATTGCCTTAGGGACTATTTATTGCCGTGCCTTGTGTCTTTAGTCTGCGTTTTACTCACTAGATAGATACTCTAATATAAATATATTAACTAAAGGTACTTAAATACCTAGCTAAATATTTATTTTAATTCCAAACTTCTATTTTACTTTTGAAATACTATTCTACTAGGATAAGAAATTCTTAGTACTTATATAACAGTTTAGCAATTCACTAATATTATCTTTAAAAAAGTATTAATTTCTTAATTTAAAGCTTATTATCACGTACTAAGTTTTATTATATAGATAAAAAGACGCTTAACTAAATATATATTATAGCACGATACGTGATCGAGCTTAAAAGATTAGAGGGGCGACCCGCAATCGAGTAGAAGTAAGTGGAATTTTAATTAGTATAAAGGATTAATTAGAGAAGATATCTATCTACCTAAAAAAGAAAATTATAATATATACTATAAACTAGTTATGTAATACTATACTATATTTTTCTGTCTAGCTTTTATTGCTTAGTTTGTTACACGGGGTCTGGAGTGCTAATACTTCTCTAGCTCGATCCGGGTTAAGGCGAGTAGGATTGGGATTAGCGCCATAAGAGTTGCCTAGCGATTCTTAATAGAAAAGAGTTATAGATATAACTAAGAGTTTAATAATACTAATCTATTTAATAGACTAATATATAACTAT